AAAAAAAAAAAAAAAAAAAAATTGACAAAACATGAAAAACTGTCAGTTATAAATGCAAACAGAAATTAAATATATATTGATTTGTTTTAGAGATAGAGTACAATAGCTCAGTCATAGCTCAGTATAACCTCACACTCCTGGGCTCAAACAATCCTCCTGCCTCAGCCTCCAGAGTAGCTGGGATTAGAAAAATGTTATCAGTGTGCCTGACTTTTTTTTTTTTAGAGATGGGGGGCCTCACTATGGTACCCAGGCTGGTCTCAAGTGATCCTCCCGTCTCAGACTCCCGTAGTGCTGATACTACAGGCACAAGACACTGCACCCAGCCTATAAGTTCATTTTTCAGCCAGAATACTTTGAGGCCAATTTCTCTTTCCACCTAGTGTGTATTCAGACAAAGCAAGCTGATTTTAATATTAGCTTAAGTAAATAAAATTAGGCACTTAAGTCTATTGCAAAGGGTTACAAAAATATAATACAAGACAAAATTAAACGCTTCAGAAAACATCACAATTTCCTGAGAATTAAAAATAAACACAAATTTATATAAATGTCTACTACTAACCTTGTTGTCCATCTGGCATGGTCACAATGATGGGCTGACCTATTCCACTGGTGGGAATGGAATGTAAGTTTCCAAGCTGTATTCCATCTGTAACTATAGTGATTACTTGCTGACCTCCTGAACTAACTACTTGTTGAATTGCACCATCCACAGATTCTGCAGTGACTACTTCTTCCGTGGCAACTACTGGAAAAAATAAAAAGGAAAAAAATCAGTGAATATACAGAACAATACAAACAGAAATTGATTTTTCCTTTATCTGCTACTTTGGCCTTCTCTGCTTCTTCCCCACACAGGAAAATCTGTACATGGTTTTTAAACTCAGTCTCCAGTGGTGCTGTAGATAACCATATAAACAGTTGACTACAAGTCTGATAATGTATAATAAGTTCTAATTATCTCTACACACGAGTGATTAAACAATTTTTCTTCACTTCATTTAAATTTGGAGGTACAAAATTTTTAAGATCTAAGATCATGACAAAGGTTACTTCTGTTTCATAAAATTCCACAATTCAAAAAAATTTTTTGAATATACTTACACTCTATTTATATTTACATATGAATTGATATATAGAATAAATAGTATTCCTTTTTGGAGTGAGAATAATGCTAGTATTCTAATTCAGCCAGACTGCAGAGAAACTCACACATGGAAGGCAGGTACAACATGCTTTATTCAGCTCATGGGTGGCTGGTGAGCTAACTCACCCTAACTTGCCCGAACTCCTTGCAGCCAGGGAGCCGTTACACATCACAATCTGTGATCCACAATCCGCACAGGGGAAAGTGGAGTGCACAATTGTACCCAGGGCAACAAAAGTGGTAACATGCCAAGTAGAAGTGACATAAGCATGACCTCACCATACGCTTTATGACTATCGAGGTGCACAGGCACCTTCTTATGGGCGAGAAAGCCCCAACACTTTCCTTAGCCCACACTCCACTCTTTTGGGGTTTTTCGTCTCATAATCTGCACATTTGATTCTTCTACAAATTTCCCTGTGCGAGGACTGTGGAACACTGCATTTAAACATTATAATAGCAATATAAATTATAATATATGATAATGAGCAAGTAATGGTAGATAGATACAGTGACTAGTATTTATTAACTACAGACATACCTATATTTTAGTTTATAGGGCATTATTTAAAGTAAGGATGTGTTTCAGAGATTTTATTATTGTTTTTAACTTTTTGGTGGTAATAGTGTCATTGAGGCTTTTCAGGCAGCAGCAGCAGTTTAAACTATTGGTTTAATTAGATTTTTATTATAATTAATGTAATTACATATGAAACACTTTTTAATTTTTTGAGACAGAGTCTCATTATGTTGCTCTTGGCAGACAAGCATCATAGCTCACAGCAATCGCAAACTCCTGGGCTTAAGCAATTCTCTTACCTCAGTCTCCCCAGTAGCTGGGACTATAGGTGCCTGCCACAACACCCAGGTATTTTGTTGTTGTTGTTTAGCAGGCCCAGACCGGGTTTGAACCCACCAGCCCCAGAGCATGCAGCCAGCACCCTAACTACTGGGCTATAGGCACCACGCCATTTTTTAAATTTTTTTTTTTTTTTTTGAGACACAGTCTCAAGCTGTTGCCCTGGTTAGAGTGCTGTGGCATCAGCTCATAGCATCAGCCTCCCAAGTAGCTGGACTACAGGTGCCGGCGACAAGGCCTGGCTATTTTTTTTGTTGCAGTTATCATTGTTGTTTGGCAGGCCCAGGCTGAATTTGAACCTACCAGCTTTGGTGTTATGTGGCTGGCACCCTAGCCACTGAGCTATAGATGCCAAGTCCATTTTTTAATTTTTAAAGAATTTTTATAACGTACTATGAACAATTTGACAGATTGTTTTTTATTTTTGTCTTAAAATTTTTTTAACCATTAGTTACTTTAAGACAAAAAAAGTTTTTTTGTTTTTTTTGGGTTTTTTGTTTTTTGAGACAGAGTCTTAAGCTATCCCCCTGGGTAGAGTGTGGTGGCATCATAGCTCACAGCAACCTCCAACTCCTGGGCCCAAGCGAGTCTCCTGCCTCAGCCTCCTAAGTAGCTGGGACCACAGGCGCCTGTCACAACGCCCAGCCATCTTTTGGTTGCAGCCGTCACTGTTGTTCTGGCAGGCCCAGGCTGGATTCGAACTTGCCACCTTAGGTGTATGGGGCTAGCGCCTTAGTCACTTGAGCCACAGGTGCCGAGCCGACAAAAAAGTTTATGAAATCAGCACATGGTACCCCATAAATGTGGTAATGTACACAGTTATAATCTAATAAAAATAAATAAATAATTTTTTTATTAAAAGTATATCTTTATATTTGTCTTTTTATATAGCATTTTCTTTTTTACTTACTTTTTTAATTTTTAACTCAGCAGAAGGGAAACTGACCTGGGTCTTCTGCTGAGTGATGGTATTTTATTTTAAGGATATTTCTAACATAGTAACCATAGTTTTTGGCAGGCAAGAAGAAACCGTTTAACACACTTCATATTTTAACTCTATAGCGGTAGACTGATCTTTTTTGAGTTTTTTTTTGGAGACAGCCTCAAGCTGTCCCCCTGGGTAGAGTGCTGTGGCCTCACAGCTCACAGCAACCTCCAACTCCTGGGCTCAAGTGAGTCTCCTGCCTCTGCTTCCCAAGTAGCTGGGACCACAGCTATGCCCACCACAACTCCTGGCTATTTTTTTTTTGGTTGCAGCCATCATTGTTGTTTGGCGGGCCCAGGCTAGATTCAAACCCGCCACCGTAGGTGTATGTAGCTGGCGCCTTAGCCACTTGAGCCACAGGCGCCGAGCCCTTTTTTGAGTTTTTAATGTATTAAATATGTGTATAAGAACAGAAATCTAAGAGGCTTTAAACATTAAGTCTTATAAACTAACAATAGAAAATTTCTGTTGCAGGTCGGTGTCTCTACACACTTTGTTCAGTGTGTGCTGAGTCACTGTACTGTTTGCCTGGCCACTGGCATGCAGTCTCTGACACTGCTGTCTCTGTTGCATTCACTGGCCACGAGCACCATCTTTGTAGCAGCCTTACCATCCCCTGCTGGCCGCGCTCACAGACTGCACAGCTGCATAGCTGTCAGTATATTATCAGCGGGGAGGGCTTGTTGGCTACCACTAGCCATACAACCCTTAATTTTGTCTGTTGACCATTTTGTCTAGTCCCTATGCGGAACCAAACAGTCTCAGTCTGTGGGTGGCATGCCATTGCCGTCCAGTGCGCGAGCTGTCGTCAGCTGGAGCAGTTTCTCAGTGGCAGCTACCCCTGCGCTCATTCATCCAGCCTTGGCCAGCCCGTGTATTACCTTGTCCCGTCTGGCCAGGCACTGCCTCATCTCCCTGCTTGGCTTGTCAGCCATGCACTGTTTTACCTGACCCTTGTACCACCATACTGAGGTGAGTTTCCTGGTATGTCCATGTACTACTGTCTTGATCACTTACATTCACAGGCAGAAGTCTCCCGCTGATGTCTGAAGTTACAAGTTTTGCAACACATTCACCGCATGTGAATGTGGGGGGCAGGGTGGGGGGGACACATTTGACATTTCCCTGGGAGAGGCACCTGATGCTCAGTGGGAGTTTAAGGGACTTTATCTGTATAGTTTGACCTTTACAACCATTTCTTTATTCCTGAGACTTGTTCTGAGACATCTAAGAAAATACTATTTATTTTTAGATCTTAAAGTTATAACAACTAGGTACTCAAGGGTTTTAGGCTTCTGTTTCTTCAACTCCACCTTGCTTAACTACTTACAGGATGTGATGGCCCATCTTAATAGGGTCCTTTGTTGTTGCATTTTTACCAATTGTGTCACCAAGGGCTGTGACCTAAAGAAAGGTCATTTTTCTCCCCTCCTGAGGTAAACACCTAGCACTGCTATGGTGAAGCACACTGCTGTTCCACCTTAAGCAGCTACTTTGTTTCTTGTAAAGCTTCTGCTGTTGTTGCTACTGTGTCTCCAGCTCTTCCTGGAGTCCCTAACACTTGCTGCCTCACAGAGTAGTCTTGGTCTCTGCTCACTCAACTGTAGGAATACCCAGCCTGTGGCCCCCCCATCTTATGGACTCTTTTTTTCTCAAAGGCCTCTCCCACTTTCCTGTGGTACGGAGGGTTCTTTCCAGCCACAGCGCCACTCCTGGTGGGACTACCAGGAGTAAAACAGGCTTGGCACTGAGTAGCAGATACCCATGAGAGGTCATCTTTCAATCTCACCCTCCCTGAGTGCCTCCTTAGTGGCCTGAGACCAATCTCATCCTTGTCACCATTTGTGATGCCAGTGTTCTAATTCAGCCAGACAAGAGAGAAACTCAGGTACAGAGAGAGGACAAGTCAACACACTTTATACAGCTCACGGGCAGCTGGTGAACTAAGTTATGTGGGAGGTGGACCCTAGCTCCTGGTAGTTGGGAAGCTAAATTACACATCACCATCTGCAATCTGCACAGGTGAAAGGTCCTGTGCACCTTTATACTCAGGGCAACACGTCAAGCAGCGGTTACATCAGCTTGACCTCACTGTATACCGCTATGACTAACTAAAAACACAAAGTGCCTTCCCATAAAAAAGCCCAAACACTTTCCCTTACCCCACAGGGAGTAAAGGTTACCTTGATAATAAGCAGCACACAAATCTGGTACTGTGTGATATTAAAAGGACAACATCTGAACATCTACATAAATGAAATCCCAAAATATGCTCTTAATAATTTATGAGAGATTCAGAGGGAATTATGGCAGCTAAAAACATCACCTTTCAACATATATGTATAAATTCATAATTCTATATATGTATATCATTTTATCTATAAAATAAAAAAATGCATAAATATGTCATTATTACAGTCAAAATGTTTGGTAATATTTAAAAATCATTTACAATAAAATATCTATGCAAAATGAAAAAAAAAATAGCACCTCTTGCCTTGCCTGGGTAAAGAAAGCAGAAGTTGGCTCGGCGCCTATAGCTCAACCGGCTAAGGCGCCAGCCACGTACACCTAAGGTGGCGGGTTCGAATCCCCAGCCCGGACCCGCCAAACAACAATGATGGCTGCAACCAAAAAAAAAATAGCCAGGTGTTGTGGCGGGCACCTGTGGTCCCAGCTACTTGGGAGGCGGAGGCAGGAGACTCGCTTGAGCCCAGGAGTTGGAGGTTGCTGTGAGCTGTAATGCCACGGCACTCT